TAGCAGAACAGACTGGCCGGCAACCAGTCTAGGAGATGGAGAACTCTTAAATCAAAGAGCGCAGAGGGTCGTTTGGGTAACTTGTGGCATACTGGGCACCAGTTCTCTGCATTGGGTTCTTCGAAAAAGTGTGGTTGGGTCTGCAAAACCCTTCCCACTATAATCAAATGATGCTTGCAGGATAGCCTGGCTTTTGGTTGTAAGAACTCCGCTTGACGCTGATACGTCTGTGACAACAGGAGTGTCCACTGTATATATATATATATATATATATATATATATATAAATATATATATATATATATATATATAAAACACACAGCGTCATCATGAAAATAATTTTCTTTTCTAATGGCGCCAGATCGTCGGCAACACATGACACACTAGATGTTTTACAAATTATCTTTTAGATTTACCATTCCGTTGTATTTTCATCCAACTTTTATATATATATATATATATATATATATATATATATAAAATATTGTTCCATATATATATATATATATATATATATATATATATATATATATATATATATATATATATATCCCAACATAGTATAGATATCTGACTCAGCATTAAAGCCCTGGTTGACAGCTACTCTCACAGGAAAACATTGAATTTAAAGCTGGGAAACCACTCAATATCTCTTCCAATGAGACATGTCTGTTACCGTGTAATCAAGAAAATGTCTAGGCACGATAGACTAGGTCTTGAAGGGACATGGTAATATATATATATATATATATATATATATATATATATATATATATATATATATATGCATGTGTGTGTGAGCAGTGTGTGTGAGCGTGTGTTTAAATTAGTTTCAGGTAAGTGTATCTATGAAGGAAGAAAATGAATAAAAAACAAGAGGAAAAATAATTCTTAGCCGACGAATTTCATCCTCTGAGGGATTTTATTAAGACATGCGCAACAAAATAAAGACTCTTGTATTTTTTATCCGTGTATATATATACACACACACACACACACACATATATATATATATATATATATATATATATATATATATATATATATATATATATATATGTGTGTGTGTGATAAGATAAAGAAGAAATAAGAAATGTTTATCACTCTAACATGCTTCATCAGAGAATGAGATATGGAGAGAAATTCTGGTTACTTTTACTTTTGAGTTGTTTGGTTTTCATTGGTTAATCATGTTTCACTTGCATTCGACTTGTTAAACAAACGTTACTATAATATATGGTGTTCAGAATTCAAGGACAGTCAACGCGTCTATTCGATGTTCCAACATTCGAAGTTCTTTATCTTAACATTCTGTGTGATTACTACTCATATCTGAGATGTATTTGATCCTAGCTGATATATATATATATATATATATATATATATATATATATATATATATATATATATATATATATATATATATATGTATGATATATATATATGTATATATATATATATATATATATATGTATATATATATATGTATTATATATATGTATATATATATATGTATATATATATATATATATATATATATATATATATATATATATATATATATATATATATATATATATATATATATATATATATATATATATTTATATATATATGCATATATATATATATATATATATATATATATATATATATATATATATATATATATATATATAAAAAATGTTTGATTAAAAGAACCAACAAGATTAGGCTGTTTCATTTTTAATTGTATTTTTTCTATTTTCGAATAAAGTTTTGATTTTTGTGACCGGAATTATCAATAAACTGTCCGAAATTCATGTTGCTTTATTGTGATGATCCAAAATCTTTTAAAAACTTCACCCTCCCTGTTAAATTACAAAAATTACACTACCCATCAATTTCTAATCCCATTTTTCCTCTCATTTCATTGTTGGAAGTGTTACCTGATGATCCGAAATCCTTTAAAAAGGATTTTGGTGAAATAAATTATTGTAATGGTACCTTAAAGTGGTCTGTTTTTCATTAAATATTAGCTCTGTTCTTCACATTGAGCTCTCAGGATTTCATCCTCCTTGAATTTACCAATTCAGTTTACCAAGTTCTTCATAACTTAAATATATATATATATATATATATATATATATATATATATATATATATAAGTGAACATTGAAGGCAACAATCACAGTTGACAGTTTCATATGAAACGCAATCATCAAGCCACAGGGGACTTCAATGTTCACTTTTAAATTTACATACGCTCTACCCCTGATAAGCAGCACTTTATCCCATAAACATAGCTTACCTTAATATATATATATATATATATATATATATATATATATATATATATATATATTTACAGCCAAGTATTAAAATTAAAAATGTGTTACTTACAATTGGAGTTTCAGTGCGGTTTTTTTTTTTGGTGGGGGGATCCATGAAAAATAATTTGTTGTTTTACTTTTTTTACTTTAACTTGGATTAGCTTTTTAAAAATTGTTTAACTGTTTATATATCCACGTGTTGACGCTTATGTTTTGAACAAATGAAAAAAAGAAAAGGAAAAAACCTCAAGGGGCGTAACTGGCTTTATATGTCGTTTATTGTAAGAGAAATGTAGTAGAATCTATTTATGCGATGAATTAAGTGTGGATTTGAACTTATCGATGAAAATGTTTCTTTATTAATCTGCCTTTGTTCAGTGGTTCTCTAGTCGCAGTGGTAGAATGGGAAGATATTCGATTTGGCAGATTTTGTCCTCAGCATTCCTCTATATGTTGGCTAAGGGGTATTTTTAGGGATTGTGTGATGCGGCATTCACCCTGGGCGGATTGAGCCGGCTTCTTCCTGTTGTGAGAAGAAGATTCTTGGGATAAATTACAGAAGTAGGGTACCCAGGCCTACTCGGATAACGTTCTTGCTTGCCGTGGGGTTCCCACAGACGCAGAGACAGGAACGACCAGAAGCCGCCGGTTGCCGATGCAGACGCTCCTTGGATTTTCACCAGAGCCCTTGTAAGCCGGCGTGTGTGTCAGACCTGTCCGCCTTGGGTGGCCCTACCAGGAACGAAGTTCCGGACGGCATAGCTCTGACACTACCGTTTTACACCCCCCCCACCGACTGTGAGGTAAGGGTTGGACTTTGGGGGCTTACAGTACCAGGTGTTCCCAAGCAGTCCCCCATCTAAGTACTGACCTGGCTCTACGATGCTTAACTTCGGTGATCGAACGAGAACCGGTGTTTTCAGCGTGATTTGACCGTAAGTATTTTTAGGGATTGGGGATCCCTAATTTGTTGGCGATGGACTGTCATCCTTTATCGGAGTGACTGGCCGGTGTGGCCAATGTAATGCACGTGCCAACCTCTGCATATAATTATGTATAATAAATAATCTGACTCGCACGAGAAATCATTTTTAAATTTTAATTTGGATCCGTCTTTGAAATGAAATCGAGGCACTTTAACAAATAGCTGATTGTATATATATATATATATATATATACACACACACACGCTATGGAACACATAGACAATTGCTAATATCCCGTTATTTAGTTTATATTCATGCTTATATCTATCTATCTATCTATCTATAAAAGGCATGGTGTGTGTGTGTGTGTGTGTGTGTGTGTGTAACGAATGCACGGCCGCAATTTTCGACGGATTTGCACCAAGATTTACATGAACATGCTCCAAGTTAGCGGGAAGGCCAAGACCCACTTTGCATTTCCCAACTCCCATCGATAGTGGAAATAATCGATTTTTTCATGGTTCCACGGCAGTTTTCATGTAGTTTGCGGCCATTTTCTACTGGCCAGAGTGAGAGCCATTAGCTGGCTGCCCCGAATAGGCAGGAAGATTCTATTGGCCAGCGTGAGAGCCAACAGCTGACTGACACGAATGTTAACTAGCATGCAAAAAAAATCGATAGCTGCATTCGTCACAAGTGGGAAAAATTTAAATCTGCATGGCACTTTACTCCAATTGGCTCATTCGCTTGCTTAAACTCAACGTTGATTCTGATTCCGCAGAACTGGGTTGGGTGTGAAAATGTATTTGTTGTTAACATTCTTTTTTCATTCGGTTTTTCCAGTTACGAGTCCTTTTTTGAAGCTGATCGTTTTGTGTTCATTTTGTTTAGTTCTTTTTTTGTAACAGATTTAATGTTTAGTATAGAGTTTAGAAAAAAATCGCAGTGTGAGATAGGCAAGAAAATAAGGCATGTAGCAACATCAGCACGGAAAAAGGGCACTCCTTTAAAAAAGGCAAGGAAGGGCAAAAATATTTTAAGTCAAGTGATAACGATTGCTATATATATAGTCGTACGATTTTTGAATCAAGCACAGGCAACGCCATGCTGGCCATATATTTATATATATATATATATATATATATATATATATATATATATATATATATATGTGTGTGTGTGTGTGTGTGTGTGTGTGTGTGTGTGTATATGTATTGTAATATAGCAACAACTCTAAGTAGAATCTTATGAAGCTTTATTTGGCTTATTCTGCTTTAGTGATGAAAAACGTTTATTTTATTGTGATGGATGGTTACAAGCAAGAGGGGTGATGGGATGTGTTTATTTTATTACCATATATATATATAAATATATATATATATATACCAATTTATACATATATATATATATATATATATATATATATATATATATATATATATGTATGTAGGGAGGAGTGTATGGATAAGGACAATGCAAAAGAGTTGCGAGTCATATTTCGTTTATCGTCTCTAATTGAAATCCCACAGTCAATTTCCAGCTCTTCCAACAACAAAAGAAAGTTGAACACGTGCTCTAACATTGACGCCGAAACTATTTCAGGCCTAATATATATACCAACACTATGTGCCACAGCCACAGCGTTATAAATGGGCCGTTCATTTTATTGGCTGTGACGAGTCACGTGACGGCGACATCACCATACCTGCTATTACAGCCGAGACTAATTTGCGTCCCCACGAATTTTTTGTTCCCAACCTAAGTGTGCCCCTTTCTTTTTTTTTTTCGAACCCATTTTTTTCTTTTTTTTTTTCCTTTTTTCCTTTCTTTCTGTCTTTTCTTTTTTTCTTTCCTTTTTTTCTTTGATTCTTTCTTTCTGTCTTTTCTTTTTCTTTTTTTTTCTTTGATTCTTTCTTTTGTCTTTTTCTTTTTCTTTTTTCTTTCTTTTTTCTTTTTTTTTCTTTCTGTCTTTTCTTTTTTCTTTTTTCTTTTTTCTTTGATTCTTTCTTTTTTTTCTTTCCTTTTTTTCTTTGATTCTTTCTTTCTGTCTTTTTCTTTTTTCTTTCTTTCTTTTTTCTTTGATTCTTTCTTTCTGTCTTTTTCTTTTTTCTTTCTTTCTTTTTTCTTTGATTCTTTCTTTCTGTCTTTTTCTTTTTTCTTTCTTTCTTTTTTCTTTGATTCTTTCTTTCTGTCTTTTTCTTTTTTCTTTCTTTCTTTTTTCTTTGATTCTTTCTTTCTGTCTTTTTCTTTTTTCTTTGATTCTTTCTTTCTGTCTTTTTCTTTCTTCTTTTCTTTCTTTTTTCTTTGATTCTTTCTTTCTGTCTTTTTCTTTTTTTTTTTTCTTTCTTTTCTTTGATTCTTTCTTTCTGTCTTTTCTTTTTTCTTTTTTCTTTCTTTCTGTCTTTTTTTTTTTTTTCTTTCTTTTTTTTGATTCTTTCTTTCTGTCTTTTCTTTTTTTCTTTCTTTCTTTTTTTCTTTGATTCTTTCTTTCTGTCTTTTTTTTTTCTTTCTTTCTTTTTCTTTGATTCTTTCTTTCTTTCTTTTCTTTTTTTTCTTTTTTTTTTTTGATTCTTTCTTTCTGTCTTTTTTTTTTTTCTTTCTTTCTTTAATTCTTTGGCACGCATTTAGCTTTTCTTTCTTTCTTTGTTTACTTCTCTTTCGCCCATTTAGCTTATCTTTACTTTCTTTCTTTCTTTCTTTCTTTCTTATTTCTTTTTTTATTTCTTTCTTTCTTTCTTTATTTATTTTGTACTAATTTATATTTTGCTTGTTTCTTTTTTTCTCACCTGTTTAGCTTCTTTCTTTCTTTCTTTCTTTCTTTCTTTCTTTTGCACCTGTTTTGCTTCTCTTTTCTTTCTTTCTTATTTCTTTTTTTTATTTCTTTCTTTCTTTCTTTGCACCCAATTTATATTCTGCTTGTTTCTTTTTTTTTCTCACCTGTTTTAGCTTCTTTCTTTCTTTCTTTCTTTCTTTTTTCTTTTTACCTGTTTTTTCTTTTTCTTTCTTTCTTATTTCTTTTTTTTATTTCTTTCTTTCTTTCTTTATTTATTTTGTACCAATTTATATTTTGCTTGTTTCTTTTTTTCTCACCTGTTTAGCTTCTTTCTTTCTTTCTTTCTTTCTTTCTTTCTTTCTTTCTTTCGTACCTAGTATCTCTAATCTCTGTTTTTTTCTTTCCGTTGCACCTATTTAATTTTCTCTTTTCTTTCTTCCTTCTTTCTTTCTTTCTTTCTTTCTTTTTTCTTTAATTTTTTTGCACACATTTTAGCTTATCTTTACTTTCTTTCTTTTGCACCTGTTTTGCTTCTCTTTTCTTTCTTTCTTTCTTTCTTTATTTATTTACTTTATACCGATTTATATTTTGTTTCTTTCTTTTTACCTTTAGCTTCTTTATTTATTTATTTATTTATTTTGTACCTGTTTAGCTTCTTTTTTTTTCTTTGTTTCTTTCTTTTCTACCCATTTAGCATCTTTATTCTTTCTTTCTTTTTCTTTCCATTGCACCCATTTAGCTTTTGTATTCTTTCTTTCTTTCTTTCTTTCTTTCTTTCTTTCTTTCTTTCTTTCTGAGAGACTGAATTTACTTCACACAAACATAAAAGTTTTTTGCTGGCAAGATGAATGAAAATTTCGTTTAGGGTCATCCTTTTTGTTTTCCAAAAAGCAAAACGGACAAACCAAACCATAGCACAATTATTTTGTTTTATAATTATTATAGCATTTTATCTAAACATTCTATTATTTCATTATTAATCTTATTCGATCTTATTATTGTTGTTTTTTTCCCCAACATTCTCATGATTCTTTTATTACTAGTTTTATCTCATCTTAATTTTGTTGCTTTTTATCCTAACATTTCATTATTTTTTTTATTAATAGTTTTAGTCTTATCATTTTGGCTTTTCTTCCCAATATGCCATATGTTCTGTCTATGACATTCTTAGTATTCGTTGATAGAAAATCATTTCTTTTGTCTCAAGTCTTTTATCCAGCTGCTCAAAATTTGCTTAACATTCACCACCATGTAGAATAATAGATATTACATAGCCATCCATGTCTCTTTTCTATCTTTCTTGCTACATTTTCCTGTGTCTTAATACGTTGCTTAGTTTCTAGACGATTTTTTTTGTTGTTATTTCAGTGCGTCTTCAGATTTCTGTGTCACATTTACCGTCATGTGTTGTTACACCCAGTGGCGATTCTACGGGGCGCCAGAAGCTGGCCATAATACCCTCCCAGAAATTTGGCTGGCCCCATGATTGGCCCTCCACCTCCTCCCCCCCCCATTTTATAAGTTTTGTAGAGGGAAAAAAATCAGAGCAGACAAATTACACTGTTCTGCTAGTATTGACGTTAGTATTAACCCTTTGATTTTGTTTTGAAGTTAACCGCTCTTGTGGCCCAACAGCTTGAGAGGGGGGGAGAAAGAGGTCACAAATAGATGAGAACTCCACTACTATGGATGAAAAGTTATTCCGTTTAATTTAGTGAAGTAATATACTTATACTAAAACTCATTCGTAAGTTGTGTATACGATAGTGGGGTAGTAGGAAAATAAAGACGCGGCTTGAATTTGCCCCCTCCACAGAACCCCCCCTCCAAGTGCCCCCCCCACACACACACACTTTCAGAGTTCCAGAATCGACCTAGGTATTTGTGTGTGTTTGAGAAGGGCAAAAATAATAAAATGATGTATTTCAGAGTAGTAATTAGTATTTATTAGTAATGATTTAGGTGTGACAATTGGTAAAATGAACTTTCATGGACACTAATTAGTAAAATAAATATGTCGGGTGCAGTAAATAGTCAAATTATCTGTTTGAAGGCAGTATAATGAAATGATGTTTGGAACAGTAAACACAGGCAATCCAGCATGCATTTTCTGTTTAATATCGTGTGTGTTAAAGTTTATTAAAAAAAAACAAAAAAAAACAGACAAATCCGGCCTATTTGATTGACTACTGAAATAAAATTTCTGTCTCATTATGCTTGTCAGACAAAGAGGCAATCGAAAATGCATTTCCTATTTAATATAGTGTATTTTAAAGTTTATTAAAAAAAAAAGGTTAAAATTCCCTAAATTTTACATTTTCATATTAATGATGAAATAACATTTTTAACTTTTTAGATCATTAATACAGTTTTATAATCAGTAGCGATTCTACGGAGGGACCAGAAGGCCCCCGCCCCGAATTTTGGCTGGCTCCTTTGTTTCCCCAAACTCTTATAACTAAAAACACCCCTTCCTTTATTAAAAAAGAAAAAAAAGGTTAAAATTCACTAAATTTTACATTTTCATATTAATGATGAAATAACATTTCTAACTTTTTAAATCATTAATGCACATTTATCATCAGAGTTCCAGAATCGTCGGAGGTTACACCATCCAGATAAAATTTCTCTCCCCACCTGATTATGTCGCCCCTACACATAGCACACTACATGGGTCGCCCGTTTGGCTGACAATCAAGAACACCTTTATATTGAACAGTGCCCACACCACGAGGAATGTATGTGGTATAAGGCCGAGTTTAACGTGGGTTTCTCCGAGTTCGTAGGCTCGGCCAAAAATATTCCCTTAGAACCCACATAAGCGGGTTCGGGATCTGTCTACCTCCCCGGACAAAACTTTGCCCTTCGGCAAAGCCTCGTCCGGAGAGTTTGACAACCGAACGTCTGCTTACAGTTAATATTTTGTCCTTTCTTCTTGCTTTCCATTACGAGTTTGCCTAAGTTGTTTTCTTTTGAGGGATTTTATGTTTTTCAGTCCACGTAATCAGTGAATACCTCAACTTTTACCAAATAGCAATCGTGAATTTTGGACAAAATTTCATATATATATATATATATATATATATATATATATATATATATATATATGAAGAACATTTTTATGTTTATACATTCTTTTTATAAATATATATATATATGAAATGGACAAAATCGAACAATTATTTTAAGACATTTTTTTTAATGTTTATACATATCTATTTATAGATACAAATATTTAAGTAAATGCTCTGTTTATAATAAACAGTATTAATAACATTTACCAGCCTGAATATCTGAGAAATTGTCATAGAAAATATGCGTCCTCCTAGTGTCTGAATATCTGACATTTTCTATGAAAATTTCTCAGACATTCAGGCTGGTAAATTTTATTAATACTGTTTATTATAAACAGAGCATTTACTTAAATACTTGTATCTATAAATAGATATGTATAAACATAAAAAAGATGTCAAAATAATTATTGGACTTTGTCCATTTCATAATGTGCGATGTCATTTGTTTACATTTGGATACGCATCGAGCAGATATGAATGAATGAGAGAAAATCATGGAGAATTGTAGTTTAAAAAACAGTAAAATCGACCTGGCTCTGTGGCTAAATCGGTAAAGAACGTCAGGCTATATGACGGCTACGTGTAGGATACAGGTTCGATTCCTGTCGGAAGACGAATGTATTCTATGAAAATTTCTCGGACATTTATGCCGGTAAATGTTTTTTAATACTGTTTATTATAAAACAGAGCATTTACTTAAATATTTGTATCTCTAAAAAGAACGTATAAACATAAAAATGTCTTACACGCACACACAGGGAAGGTTCAGTCAGTTATATGCCATGCGTTATAAACGCTTAGGCGATCATGTATCTTTTGATAGATGACTGATGAGACAGAAATTTTCCGCAGTACAGTGCCATTTCTTTCTGCGTTAGACTAGTTGCCATCTAAGGCTATGGAACCCTGTCTGTCCTATTATTTATCCATAGCAGGGAGAAGAAGAGGATAAGGAAGGTTACTGAATAGAATAATCACACGAAGTCAATACACAACGGTAGCAGTCTGTTTCCTGCTTAAACACAATCGTCAAGTCATGTTTATATATATTCTTATACACACACAATATATATATATATATATATATATATATATATATATATATATATATATATATATATATATATATATATATATATCCTGGACAATTGGATTAAATTAAACACTGTCACTGCTGTATGTTGGTTTCAATTGCCATTTTTTATATACATATACATACACGCTATCTGACAAATATAGCATACCTTAAAACTATATTTTATCATATCTATCTATCTATCTATCTATCTATCTATCTATCTATCTCTCTATCTATCTATCTATCTATCTATATCTCTATATATATATATATATATATATATATAAAATTAAGTAATGAAAATCTTGGTAATCCGTATGGATCATCCCAAGGAGGATGAACTCCAGAGAGCTTAATGTAAAATCTGATTGATTAATTCAATGAAAACAGACAGCTTCAAAGGTCTATTGGTTATAATTTATTTCCTCAGGGAATTTCTTTTTCCCTGGTTCATCAGATGACACTTCAAAGGGTGAAAAAATGAATTTAAATTTAAATTCATATATATATATATATATATATATATATATATATATATATATATATATGATGGCGATTATCTCGTTATCGAGTATGACCATTATCAGATGTCAGTGCAAGATTCCTAAATCCTAAAGCGTCCAAAATCTGACCTCCCAGCCTTCACTCAACCCAGATCAAAATATTTGGGTTGAGATGGGGATCGGAGATATATAAGATTATCGAGCAAAGCTCTTTTAAGCGTGTCATGCGCAGTTAAATGCTTATTTTTCTCAGGTTGCTCGTTTAATTAGCAATATTGTTGCGCCAAACTGGATCTTGCTTTCCTCCGTAAGATCCTGTAGGAAAATCAGTCTTTGTGAGGCTGTAGATAATGGTGAGCGTTCTTGACATTTTGATGGGATTGAAGAGCCGTTTCAAGATTGTCTGGTCGGCCCAATTTTCCTCCAACATTCGGACGTTTACCCCTTGACAATTCTCCGTAAAGTGACTGCTCAGTTGATCTGCTATCTCCGAAGGGGTTGCAGGACAACTCAACCCCGACGACTCAACACCGTCGACAATGCGCCGAGTCAACTCAGGCCTGAGACAACTCAGGAACGACATCCGACTTCACACCAGAAAAAAAAAAAAGAAATCTTTTTTTTTTATAGAAATAATAAAAGTAATTTATTAAGTAATTTGACATATAAAAAACAATTCAATAAAACACACTTGTTTTTAAATATTTTTTTAATAAAGTAAATCGAAAAATGCAAAACACAATGAACCAGTTTTTATTTTTGTTTTGAATTATTAGTCTGCATGTAAATAGTGTCAATAATGACAACTCCTCTTCCCAGAAATTCAGACTGAAGGCGATCAGGTGATAATAACAACAAAGATGAGGACAAGAGACCGAATGTAAATGATGTCAATAATGATAACTCCTTATGCCAGAAATTCAGGCAAAAAACAAAAAAAAACAACATAACTAAAAAAACATATGAATAGGCACGAACACATAATTGAGATATGATGCGTTGAGTATGGAATAATAATAATAATAATAATAATAATAATAATAATAATAATAACTACCCGTGGCCTAAAAATATCGGGTTGATATACGTCGGGGAATGGCCGTTTCCCGTGGGCAAGACAAGTTCTTTAGTTTTGGTCGACAGTATAGTAATCTTGCTTTGCAGCCAACTTTGATCTTCAAAAATGTAAATAAAATTTCAAACGTCGACTTGATTCCTCTTTCTTTCTTGTTTTTGCTTCTTAATAATGTTTTTTCGGGTTTTCTTATTCTTTCACACTCAGTAAACCTTTGTGTCTTAGTGGTATTACTGACTTTCATGAGGTGATATATATATATATATATATATATATATATATATATATTCATCCACAAACAGACTGTTTCGCGGTATCACAGCTCATCAGTGTAGCTAGACATCCGATTGCGTCAAGTCGGAGATTTTTCCCCTGAGCTATCAGCACCCGACAGAGAGGAAGGGGGAAGCGTTTCAACCCAAGCAAGGCAGGAGTGTCCCTATCACGCAGGGTGCGGGGGTTACAGAGGGTGAAAGTGAAAGAAAAGAGAGGATCTAGGGGGATTGAGAAAAGGAAAAAAGCAGAGGGATCAAGGCCGGGATCCAGATGCCAGTCTAGTAGCACGCTTAAATTCATGTGGCTGGGGAACCAGGGATAAAAGCTGATCAGAGCAGTTGGCGTGAAAATTTTTGTAGAAAAGACAGAGGGAAACCACGTCACGTCGGTCGGTGAGAAAGTGACTGAAGTTGGGATGCCTGGGGTCTGGATCGATTACATTGCAGATCCTCCTTTAGATTTTGTCAAGAACCTCGAGATGAAAGACAGGGACACAAGACCAGATTTGAAATAGTGTATATATATATATATATATATATATATATATATATATATATATATATATACTAGCAGCATTACCCGGCGTTGCCTGGGTTTATTCAAAAAAAGATCACGAACCTCATCCAATCTGTTAAAATAAAGATGATTTTTCTTTAGTGCCTCTTATCTACATGGCGAAAAATTATAATGACATGAAGTGTGAAAACATTTATAACTGGAGAAAGTTGTTTTTTACGGAAGCACAGAAGATACAAAAAGAATCTCAGCAAATGAATAGTACATTAATCGCAATCGATCTTCGAAAATTGTTGAGGGGAAATTTTTTGTTGACAGCTTTTGCTCAAACTACATCGAATGAACAACATACATTGGAAGGAGAAGACATTCAACAAAGACTTCTGCTAGCAACCGTGCCAACGTTGAAAACCAACGTTCACAAAGACTGTATAGAATTGTTCTTTGCCCCTCAGTTTCGACAGCTCGAGTAGCAACAGTTCTGGCAGCGTTCCTTCCTCGTCTAGTTAACCGTTGCTCATTAGTTTCTGCTGACCTTGCATTAGCTGTATGAATAGCATTTTGTGTCAGTCTAATTTGAGTTGAAGCGTTTCTTCTCCGTGCTTTTATGCCTTTGGTTGCAGTAGTAGCACGTCCAAGTGAAGGATTTCGCTTTCTTGGCATTACTCTCAGGCTGTAGTTGGAGGGGTTTCGCTAAGCTTTTTGAATAACAATGAAATAATGCCTCCTACTTAATAATGTTAGCGCACGATGTTGATGGTTCGGCCGGAGAGACTGAAGTCATGTTATAAGTCCAGGAAGGGGGGGCAAGGGGAAGTGGGGGGCTTTACAGAAAACAGTTTATCGGAAATCCGGCAAAATATCCTTTAACAGTTTCAGTGCGGGAATATTGCACTCACTGACCTTCACCAATATTTGCTGAGCGTTTCCAGAGACCAAATAGTGGATATGAACCCAATTAGACGAATATGCGATGATTTTCATCAGTGGCGACTGGGACACATGTGACAAGACACATTTACGAGCCCGGCATCCAGGCATCTATCTTGTCCACTGCCAACGTAAATGCGAAGCCAATGGTGGCGTCTATACAGAAAAAAAAATAATATTTTGAAGGTGAAAACATGCTCCATCCCACGGTGTCATTGGGCTTTTTGTAACCGTTGTATTTTCCGTGGAGACTACAACAGATACAGAGAGAGCATTACTTTCGGAACAATTCTTTCTCACTTTCGTACGCGTGTGTGTGTGCTTCAGTTATAGCCATTGGCGTCAGTGTGTATATAGTTATTCGCCTTAAATTTCTTTTTATTTATTCCTGTTAGTCCTGCTGTCTGTCGTGTTTTGGCTAATGTTACGCCATGGCATTCGCAACTCGTAATGTTGGCTTTCAAACCTCCTTTCCTAAATGGCTTGATAGACTTCCCGCTAGCTTGATAATTGCATTCGCGCAGAAGGCGGTAAAACGAGAAGAAAGAAAGAAAGAAAGAAAGAAAGACGGGGAGAAAGATATTTGAATGAGAAGACTGAAAACAAAAATAGATAGATAGATAGATAGATAGATAGATATGAACATATCATAATAGAGAGATAGATATTAAGAGACTGAAAGATATGTATGGATTAAAATAGATACGCATGAATAGAATGCGATAGCAAGCAAGTAACTAGCTAGCTATATACATATATATATATATACGAACACAATGAGATAGATAGATATGAAGACGCTGAGATAGATAGATAGATAGATAGATAGATAGATAGATAGATAGACATGAACAGACCGTGATAGATAGATAGATAGATAGATAGATAGATAGATAGATGATAGATAGATAGAGCGAGAGAGATACCTGGAAAGATATGAATAGACTGAAACAGATATGAATAGACTAAAGTAGTTAGATATGAACAGAATGCTATAACTAGATAGATAGGTAGGTAGGTAGGTAGACAGATATATATATATATATATATATATATATATATATATAGAAAAAATTATGAATAGACTGAAACAGGTATATATGAATAGAATGCGATAACTAGATAGATAGATAGATAGATAGATAGATAGATAGATAGATAGATCACGAACCGAGTAAAATCGTTAGATACATACATATAACAGTGAAAGAAAGAAAGAAAGAAAGAAAAAGGAAAGAAAGAAAAAAGAAAGAAAGAAAGAAAGAAGGTAGGGTGGAAAGAAAACAACTTGATCCGAATCATGGGCATTGACAAGCCTACACTCGTCTGATTGTTCTTAACGACGCGTAAAAAGCCGACGAAAAGACGATATGGCTCTTTTTTTTATTTGAATTTGCATGTGCGGTGAATAGGATTCGTCATTTCGAGCCTGTTGCTGAGATCAGCTATAATTCGTCTTTCGATAGCCCATATCATGTCGTGGAGATATTTTCATTCTTTTCCTGAGATACAACGTTCGATAGAATGTCCTGTATTGTACAGTTTCTCTGTGTTCCTTTCTCAACAATTAGACATCTTCACGATTCAATGTATGAACGAAGAATACTGCCGGGCGAGTGTGACCAAAGATAACCTCCGAAACAACTTGCTCTATAGTCTGAACTTGCTAATGGATTCTTTCCAGGTAGTAATAAAACCCGCTGTGTGAATATACCTGTGTATAATATATATATATATATATATAAGTGTTTATATATATATATATATATATATATATATATATATATATATATATTAAAAAAAGAAGAGAAAACAGCAAACGTTTTTGCTTAAATGTGGATTTGTTTAAATAATATATAATGTTTTATTTTCCATAATTTTGCTACACGTGTTTCCGTTCTAGAATTTTTCAATTTTCAATATTAAAAATTCATTTTAAACCTTAGATAAGTTTTTCCTGATTTTTTTTTTTTTTTAGGTAGCTAATATACATAAATATCTATCTATCTATCTATCTATCTATCTATCTATACACATCGTAATTTCCCATGTATAATACGCATTTTTTCTAAAAAATAATAGGCAAAATTAGGAGTGCGTGTTATTCGCAGCTAGAAAAAATTTCACGACAATTTGACACTAACAATCAGCGATTGTGACCCCATAAGGATGTCAAATACAATCATATGTGTAGCTGACAATACTTACAAATGTAAAGTAAAATAAGAATTATCATAAAATTAAATTAGAATAATATTATCCTATGTTTAAAACCATTTTTTTAAATAAGAAACGCTGGCCGTAATGAAATTGGAGAGGTACAATTTATAGGGTTTGATTACCAAACAACAGGTGCGTATTATGCATGAGTAGAAGCATTTTCCACACTTTCAGCACAATTTTAGGGGTTCGTATTATATGAATGAAGGCGTATTATACATGGAAAATTACTATATACATATATATATATATATATATATATATATATATATATATATATATATATATATATATATATATAGTTTGCTAATTAGGCAGCAATCTTTCCTTTATGCATGTTTCATTAAAGACGACAGACAAGGTACTACGGTTAAGCTTTTTATTTATTTTTATTTTTTAATTTTAAGAGCTTTCTTTTCTGGACAAAGAGTGTGTAAAAACTATCCAAATGTTTTATAGTTCCGAGCGCTTTCGTCTATACCTTTAGCCATTATCAAGGATGATTTTGATTTTTCAGCTTACTTGAGTGTGTGCATTATGTGTGTGTCTTAGTGTGTGGTAGGGATGTTTTTAATTTCCGAATACGTTTAGCACATTGTGGCCTTGTTCGTAGTTAATATTGTTAAGAATTGGCTTTTTCTTTTTTTTTTTTTATTATTAATGGAAGTTTTAATAATAAGCTAAAGGTATAGCCGAAAGCGCTCGGAAATATAAAACATTTGGACAGTTCTTACACACCTTTGTCCAGAAAAGAAAGCTCTTGTCAGAACACAAGAAAAATTAAATAAAAAAGCTCAACCATAGTACCTTGTCTGTCGTTTTTAATGAAACATGCACACACACACAAACACACACACACACACACATATATATATATATATATATATATATATATATATATATATATATATATATATATATATATATATATATATGTGTGTGTACCGCCAATTAAATAAACGTAAATGTTGATAAAATGCCTAAAATTTAATAAAACAAAGTATTATTGCCCAAATCTTTGTTATTATTAAGAAGAAATAAAGGATTTTTTTTATGTAAAAATTATTTTAATCCTTTTTGAAACCTATGACATTTTAGTTCAAAATCTTTTTCTTTTTTCTTTTCTGGCATCAGCGGGAGACTATGAATTAGCGCGGGAAACTGAAGCGTTTCTTTTGCAGTGAAAGCCATATTAAATTGGAAATTCTTGCAAAAAAAAATCAGTTAATTGTCGGATTATAATGAAACTTTCAGGACATATTCACAAATGAATAAAATTACTATTTAACCGTTTCGTTTTTGTAGCACTTAAGTAATATAAGGACATGTCCCAGGAGAATTTAAATCATCAAATCTTTTTGGCCAAACAGGACCCCCCCCCCGTTACAGAAAATCTGCTCTGAACCGTAAAATGCAATAAAACTAAGACAGTCAATTAGAAATGCTTTTAATTAATTTTATAAATAAATAAAATATATCTTGGAGAATATTGTCTTAAGAAAAAAATGAATAATGAATTTTTACAAGCATTGTTTTCATTTTCATAACTGAACTACACTTGCGACGAGGTATCACTAATATACAGCTAGATTTATGTACTTTATGCTGGTAGTTTATTTTTCTCGCACTTCTCGATTGTGGAACTCCCTTTCGGGTCCATGCTTTTCAGCCAACTTTAATCTTGATTATGCTTCTCTTGCTCTTGCTCTTTGGTAAAGTTTCCGTTTTCTAATTCTTCCACACCTAGAAACTCCTTGTATCCTAGTGACTTTACTCCCTTGCTTGGGGTGAATTCGATTTAAAAAAAAAAAAAATTTCCATGACCACCGGTATTTTGAAAAGAATTTTGAATTTCTTTTTCGTGTGTATAAACGTACCGATTTTTGTAAATACGGGCGTCCGTACACGACATTATCAGGAAATCAGAAAATAAGAGCGATAACTATAGTAAATTTAAAATTTATTAGTAATTTTTGCTCCACAAGCGTCTTCGTAAGTAAGACGATAAAGTCAAAGTACCTAAAATTCAATAAAATATTAGAATGCTTAAAATGTTTTACATTTTTAAGATTACTAGATAGTTAAAAATGAACTAAAAAAAAAAGGCGTTGTATACGTCATGTAATTTTAACAGTATTTCTCCCTTACATAAATCTCACAAACAGATAGACGTGTCAACACCTCATAAAACCACCCACTTCCGTGTTAAGAAATGCTTTTCTATGATACTTTAATTCAGGTTATACTGGACGATTGTTACCTACAGGTGATCTTTGTTTAAAATGTAGCACCTGTTTGACCCCTCACCAGGGTTACGCCCCCTCCCCCCCCACACACACACCGGACTAACGGATGAAGAGTGATCATTTTTGTAGCTAACGGCGGGTACACGAGTCGATATCTGATCAATATTATATGATTTTGTAAAACCCGAAGCCCCTCATGATCTACGGCTAAGAACATCACTGATGATGTGTACCTGAGCATTCGAAACATGTATTTCACGAAAAAGTAAATTGTCCATTTTGGATGAGAATCCGATAGAATGATAAATATATGTGACAATTTGGACATATTTTGACATGTTTCGACCATGAAGCGACGTCATCAAAAAAAAAAAAAAAAAAATAGGCGTGACCAAACGACGGTTTTTCCCCTTGATACCGCTATTATTTTAACTACCTTCACTCCTCGACAATGTTTATGATATTAAGATGGTTATCGTTTAACCAATCCATAGACAAATAAATATGAAAACAATTTTTTGATTATGTGAACATTTTTCGAAAATAATTGTTCGAAAAACATTTATTCCAAATTTACAAATTGTTTGAATTAAAATTAATCGAAAGGACAATCATACGAAATGGTAATTATTCGAAATGTAAAATTCTTTATTGCAATAAAAATGTAAAAATTCAAAGAGGAAGTACACAAATGATAATTACTCAAAGTACAAATATCGTCAATGAAACAATTTAGTAAGAAAAAATTCTTATAACCTTAAGTTATATGATACTACACGCAAATAGTACTCATTAAAAGATGCCAATTTTTTAAAGTTTTCCATTGACGTCACGGTATTTCTTAGTACTCTTGATATTTTGGTAACCTGCTCTTACTTTTGCAATATGAATTTCTTGCAAGTCCTGTTCTCTTTTAAGAGTGTCTAAGAATTTCCATATTGTGGGATAATGGGGTAACAGTTGCTGCGAAAAAAGTCCTATGCTATCCTTGAAGGGCGTTATCAGTTCTCGGCAAATTAGCATTGATTCTCTCAAAGCGAGGCCACATACTTATTTCAAATATAGGTATTTCGAATTAGTATACCGTAATTCCCCATGTATAATACGCCCTCATCCATAAAACGTGCACATAAAATTGTGCTGAAAGTGTGGGAAAATGCTTTTACTCACGCATAATACGCATCCCTTGTTAGGTAATCAAAACCTATAAATTTTACCTGTCCAATCCCATTGCGGTCAGCGTTTTCTACTCATTTTAAAAAAATGCTTTTAAACATAGAATAATATTATTCTGATTTAGTTTTATGATAATTCTTATTTTATTTTACGGCAATTTTCTAAAGACTTTTTGTAGTTGTGCATAATACGCACCCCTGATTTTGCTTATTATTTTTTTTAGAAAAACGTGCGTATTATACAAGGGGAATTACAGTAATTGTTCTTTTGATTAATTTTCATACAAACAATTTACAATTCGAAATGTTTTTTTTGAATAATTGTTTTCGGACAGTTTTCTCGATAGGCAATTTTTTATTTATAAATTTATAAACATTTACTAAATCATAAAAACAAACTATAAGGAAATCCTTATTATTTAACCAATTTATGAAGTTTAAGAATAGGATGTTGTGGAGAACCATGATCACCTACGTCCCGCAGAGTCACGGCATATAAAAAAAAAACACGTTTGATTCTAACTAAGTGCTCCAAACATGTATAGTGTTTAGAAAGCTGGCCATTTCAACTGGCTGCTCTACACAGGTGACCTTATGCCAGACTAAGATTAGTTTAGCAAATATAGATCACATTTCGCAGACATCTTAATTAACGAATTCGAAGGGAAGAATAAAGCAAATCGAATCTCTAAACTATATAGTGAGCTCGATCTTACACCGGGTGCCTCATTAAACATTGGCCTTGTGCCACACTTTTCTAATTTGCTAATTATCTTATAGGCGCCTACCACAGTGCCACGGTTAGCGAGCTTCCCTTTACAGATATTTTTTTTTATATTCCATCGTCTTTTGATGCTCTAATATTGTGGCCTTTTGTCAGACTTTTATGAGTATGGTATTTATCTTATAGGCGCTTACCACAATGACACAGCAAGCTTATCTTGTGGATTAACTATTTTATGTAGTGCGTTTTATCATCACCGAGAGCTTCAATATAGTGGCCTTGTTCCAGACTTTTGGTATTTATCTTATAGGCGTCTACCATTATTCATGGTTAGCAAGTATTCTTTTAACAATTCTTTTATATAGTGACTTCGATCTTCACCGAGTGCCCCAATATTGTGGCCTTGTGTTGGACTCTTTTAGAATTGTGTAACTTGGGCGCCTACTCTAGTGCCGCGATTGGCAAGCTTATCTCGCAGACCGATAGAATTGTGTCGGGAGTTCTATCTTCACACGGTGCTACAAACGCGTTGGGCTTATGTCAGACAAAGCTTACTAAACAAGTATAACGAATTCTTAAACACGTTTTGTCTAATCAAACTATCTCGCTTGCTTTTGCAATGAGTCATTGGGTGCTCTATTTAGAAAGTAGGAAGTGCTGAAAAATTCTTAGTCTGACCAAAAAGGGGTGGGGTGGGGTTACGATTGGTAATTCTGACGTTGGGTCATTTGGTTAGATTGGAGAAAATGGATATCTATTAATATTTCTTATTTCGTTATCTAAAAATGTTCATTACTGAGTACAGGGTTTCCGAGCGAGTATCATGACATTTGTTGTTTTTAGCAAAGACCTCATCGATTTCAAGGTGCATCATTTTTTTTTCCTAATTCTTTTATTTTTCTTCTCTTTTCTTCTTTTAAATGTTTTATTTCTTTCTCATGAATTTTCCACATGTCTTCATTCTTTTCCACGAACCACTACTCTTTTTACTCATTTTCACTTATGTCTTTCTTTCTTTCTTTCTTTCTTTCTTTCTTTCTTTCTTTTTTTTTTCTTTGTCATTCTTTTTCTCTATTTTCTTTCTTTCTTTCTTTCTTTCTTTATTTATTTATTTATTTATTTCTTTCTTTCTTTCTTTCTTTGTCATTCTTTTTCTCTATTTTCTTTCTTTCTTTCTTTCTTTCTTTTTTCTTTGTCATTCTTTTTCTCTATTTTCTTTCTTTCTTTCTTTCTTTCTTTCTTTGTCATTCTTTTTCTCTATTTTCTTTCTTTCTTTCTTTCTTTCTTTCTGTCTTTGTCATTCTATTTCTGTCTATGTATTTTTTCTTTCTTTCTATTGTCTCTTTCTATCCGTTTTTCTGTCTTTGTCATTTTATTTCACTCTTTTCTTTCTTTCTTTCTTTCTTTCTTTCTTTCTTTCTTTCTTTCTTTCTTTTTGCCTTTCTTTCTTTGTCATTCTATTTCTCTATATTCTTCCTTTCGTTCTTTCTTTCTTTCTTTCTTTCTTTTTTGTGGTTTCTTTCTTTATGTTTTTCTTTCTTTGTCATTCTATTTCTCTCTATTCTTTCTTTTCTCATTTTTGATTCACTTCTTTATTCTTTCTTTTCTAACTTTGTCTTCCCTTCTTTCTTTCTATTCACCTTTACTTTCTTTCTTTCTTTCTTTCTTTCTTTCTTTCTTTCTTTCTTTGTCATTAAAATTCTCCCCATATTTTCTTATTTTTCTTTCTGTTTTTCCGTCGTTCATTTTTCGTCACTCTTTTCTTTCTTCTCCATTTTTTTTTGTTCTTTCTTTCTTTTTACATTTAATTTCCTTCTATTTTCTTCTTTTCCGTTTTCAATCTTCACTTTCTTTTCCCCCCTTCTGTCTTTGTCAATCTATTTCCCTCTATTCTTTCTGTTCTCTTTCTTTGCCTTTTTTTCTTCTCCTTCTCAGCTAAACTCTAGAAAGACCACCAGACGCGACATAGACATGACGAATGTCGTAGAACGTATCAACTTAAACATCGGATAAAAAACAACAACAAAAAACAAAAAAAAAAGGTGAAGATATCACATGAAAAGAATGTCTTTGAACCGTTTTTAGCGCCTGTCCACTAACGTTGGAGATAGGTACCCCCTCCACAAACACACATACTTGATACTGCAAAATATCAAAATGTTAAGCAACACCAACCCTAGCCAGTATCTAGTTGGGTAACCTCTTGGAGACGATTGTGGTCTTAGGTTAGATGAAGCAAAGTTTCGTGAACGAGGAACTGACCAGTCTTCGAGACATAATGGAGTTGATGGTAATTGAGGACAAATGCAATGAGGAGAAGTTTGCATTGGAACACTGATGATAAAAGCCAACACTAGCAGCAGTAGAGTTACTGAATGAGAAGACAATGATGATGATAATGATGATGATGATGATAACCCTGATTATGGGGGCGGTGGTACTTGCATCTAATATTTTCAGGCAGCCACTATCTTCGCTCGTAGACAACATGGCACCAATGACAAGCAGATTTTTCTCGTAGATTCACGGATTCTAGACGTTCCGTTACCAATTCTCTCCTATTTTCCTCTTCATTTCTTTGTTTTGAAATTCGGCTTCTTCTTTTCCTAGTGGTTTTCATTGGGGCTTTTGTTTCTAATTCAATCGTTTTTCGTTTCTTTTTTCTCTTTCTTAATTTCTTTCTTTCTTTCATTTTTCGCATTCTTTAGTTCCTTTTTCTCTTTTTCCTTCCATTCATTTTTTCTCGCTTTCTTTCTTTCTTTATTTCTTCATATTTTATTTTTCACATTCTATCGTTAATCTTCTTCCTTATTTTTCTTTCTTTCTTTCTTTCTTTCTATCTTTCTTTCTTTCTTTCTTTCAATTACTCATCTACTTTTTCCCTTTTTCGTTCTTTCTTTTTTTCATTTTTCGCATTCTTTCGTTTTTCCTTCCTTCCTTCCTTCCTTTCTTTCTTTCCATTTTCGCATTCTTTTCGTTTTTCCTTCCTTCCTTCCTTCCTTCCTTCCTTTCTTTCTTTTTTTTTTTCGCATACTTTCGTTTTTTTTCCTTCCTTCCTTCCTTTCTTTTCTTTTCATTTTTCGCATTCTTTCGTTTTTCCTTCCTTCCTTCCTTCCTTCCTTCCTTCCTTTCTTTCTTTCATTTTTCGCATTCTTTCGTTTTTCCTTCCTTCCTTCCTTTCTTTCTTTCATTTTTCGCATTCTTTCGTTTTTCCTTCCTTCCTTCCTTTCTTTCTTACATTTTTCGCATTCTTTCGTTTTTCCTTCCTTCCTTCCTTTCTTTCTTTCATTTTTCGCATTCTTTCGTTTTTCCTTCCTTTCTTTCTTTCATTTTTCGCATTCTTTCGTTTTTCCTTCCTTCCTTCCTTTCTTTCTTTCATTTTTCGCATTCTTTCGTTTTTCCTTCCTTCCTTCCTTCCTTTCTTTCATTTTTCGCATTCTTTCGTTTTTCCTTTTCTTTCTCTTTTCATTCATTCTTTTTACTCACTTTCTTTCTTATTTCCTTTCATTCTTTCTTTCTTTCTTTCTTTCTTTCTTTTATTTCATGTTTTATTTTTCCCATTCCATCGTTAATCTTCTTTATTCGCATTTTTCTTTCTTTCTTTCTTTCTTTCTTTCTTTCTTTCTTTCAACTACTCATCTACTTTTCTTTCTTTCTTTCTTTCTTTCTTTCTTTCTTTCTTTCTTTCTTTCTTTCTTTCTACGGTTACCTTTTCTTCTTCATTCCTTTCTTTATTCGCTTCTCCTTCTCTTTTTAGTCTCATTCAATCTTTTTATTCCCTATCTTCCTTACTTTCTTTCTCCCTTTCCTTCTTTCTTTCTTTTATTTCATGTTTTATTTTTTACATTCTATCGTTAATCTTCTTCCTTATTTTTCTTTCTTTCTTTCTTTCTTTCAACTACTCATCTACTTTTTCCCTTTTTCTTTATTTTTTTGTCTTTTATTTTGTTTGTTTCTTTCTTTGTTTCTTTCTTTGTTTCTTTCTTTCCATTTCCATTCTCTTTTTCTAGTAATCTTTCTCTGCTTCCACCGTTTCTTTCTATCAATCACATCTCTCTCTCTCTCTCTCTCTCTCTCTGTCTTTCAACTTTCTGATTTTCACTCTCTATTTGTTCATAGTTTCTCTCTCTCTCTCTTTCCCTCTCTCTCACTCTAAGCCACTCCTCCCTATTCCTACTCTTTTTCTTTCCTTCCTGCACATCTTGACTTCATAAATATATTTCAATATATCGAGCGCGCCTCCAGCAGGCGGCGTGTCTGTCTCAGGTCTTCAACCGGTTCGCCTTTCGATACTCTCGCGCCGACCGAATGTCTCCAAGATTCTGTCAATAGTTAACACGCTTTTATTACAAGTTCTTCTCACTTTTGTCTGTTTTGGCGATGCAATTTTTGCAAAACAGGCTCCGTTAGGTCGTCATCGTCAACACCATTCTCGTTAGATAGCGGCGATGGTCTTACATATGTCTGCATCTGTAGAGAGACGCATGTATAATATAATGATACAGAAGTCATTCGTTTGAACACATTTTATAAAATACAACGGACAGAAAGGTCTATTAAACATTCTGGTAAGTTCGTACATATATATATATATATATATATATATATATATATATATATATATATATATATATAATGAATACATAATCCTTAAATATCCATTCAGGTGATAGTTTATTTCTTGAACTCAGACATTCATCTCTTCAGACCAAAAAGAATTTCAATTCTTTTTAAATTGATGTTATTTTTTTACACTGATGTCAAATATTTTTACATTATTATTATTATTATTATTCCTTTGATTTCTGGTGTGTACACATTTCTTTCCGGGTCCTGCCCAGAAGCCTAAGGTCAGAAATGGCGTCATGACATGTTCCACTGACCATTTAAATACACACACACACACACAAACACACACACACACACATAGACCCCCCCCACACACATAGACCCTCCCCCACACACATAGACACCCCACATAGACACCACACACACATATTTTACATAGATAAAGTCCTTCGTAAGGTTTGGGGTGTACACATGAGAACAATTTTTTTGTATTTATTTAAGGCATGGGATTCCAGGAATCCCTTCAATTAGTCTACTGGAATCTTTTCCAACCAATCCGAGGGCTCCAACTACAATAGGGATTGTTGATGTTCCCGTGTGCCACATTTCTGAGATTTCTATTTCAATTTCCTTGTATCTTGATAGCTTTTGGATTATTATTATTATTATTATTATTATTATTATACATTCTATCCGTTAATTCCTTCTTTTTCTTTGTCTACTACTACTACTACTAATAATAATATAATAACACTGCTTATTATTATTATTATTATTGTTGTTATTGTTATTATTATTATTTTGTAATTGTGATGGTTATAATGCGGTGGGGATGACTTCGCTGCTTAAAATGACTAGACTATTTCAATGTATCTCTTCTGAAATATGATTCCTCCCTTCTCCCCACCCTATTTTTTAATTTGTCAAGTCCGCGGAATAAAATACAATCTGGGTCACCATGGCAACTGGCTTAACTCCTTTCTTTCCCTCTCGCACACTCTTTCCTTTTCTCCTCCTCACCTCTATCTCTCTTTCACTTCCTCCCAACAAACCTTTTCTTGAAACCTCTGTCGTCTCACCCATTTTTTTTCGTTCCCCCTTTTAATATTAAAACTTTTTCCTTTATCTCTGTTCTCTCTCTTCGTTTTTTTTTTCTTTCTTTTATTCGTTTCCTTGTGTCTGAATAAATTGAACTGCTTTTATTTTGTAAAATTTGGTCTGAAGAGATGGACGTCTGAGTCCACGAAATAAACTATCACCTGAATGAGTTTTTAAGGATTCTGTATTCATTATTATATTTGCTCTGTTCTTACATTGATCTCTCTTTGGATTTATATCCTCCTTGGAATTATACCTACTAACCATCAAGTGATAATATATATATATATATATATATATATATATATATATATATATATGGTCTCGCATTATTTATATATATGTGCGCTTGTGTAAACTATAATGCGTACATCTGTATGTGTGTATGTGCGTATATATATATATATATATATATATATATATATATATATATATATATATATCTATATCTATATCTGCATATATATAGATATATATATATATAGTAAATATATATAGCAGCATGGCCGGCGTTGCCCATGCTTGATTCAAAATCGTACGACTAATACAGCAATTGCTATCACTTGGCTTAAAATATTTTTGCCCTTCCTTGCCTTTAAAGGAGTTCTCTTTGCCGTGCTGATGTTGCTACATGCCTTACTTCTTGCCTCACACTGCGAATTTTTTCTAAGCTCTATACTAAACATTAAATCTGTTACAAAAAAAAAGAACTAAACAAAATGAACACAAAACGATCAGCTTTAAATAAGGACTCGTAACTGGAAAAAGCGAATGAAAAAAGAATGTTAACAACAAATACTTTTTCACACCCAACCCAGTTCTGTGGAATCAGAATCAACATTGAGTTTAAGCAAGCGAATGAGCCAATTGGAGTAAAGTGCCATGCAGATTTAAATTTTTCCCACTTGTGACGAATGCAGCTATCGATTTTTTGTATGCTAGCATGCTAGTTAACATTCGGGTCAGTCAACTGTTGGCTCACACGCTGGCAATAGAATCTTCCTGCCTATTCGTGGCAGCCAGCTATAGGGTCTCACTCTGGCCAGTACAAAATGGCCGCAAACTACATGAAAACTGCCGTAGAGGCATGAAAAAATCGATTATTTCCACTGTCGATGGGAGTTGGGAAATGCAAGGTCGGTCTTGGCCTTCCTGCTCACTTGGAGCATGTGCATGTAAATTTTGGTTGCAAATCCGTCGAAAATTGCGGCCGTGCATTCGTTACACACACACACACACACATCCTGCCTTTTATATATATATATATATATATATATATATATATATATATAGGATACACACACATATTTGCATAGAGAAAGTCTGTTAACCATTCTTTAATATATATATATATATATATATATATATATATATATATATATATATATATATATATATAATATATGTATAGGATACACACACAAATATATAGGATAGCGAAAGTCTGTTAAATATTCTTTTTAATATATATATATATATATATATATATATGACACATATAGTATACATATATATATATATACATTTATAGGTTACATATATGTATGTATGCATGTATGTATAACGCTTGACTCTAGGTTCAAACTAATGATCAAGGAAGCATCCTTTTGGCGGTCTGTTCCACTAACTATTGTCCTAATGAAACTTCTTCCTTACTAATGTAATACGAATGGGATGAATATGATTCAACCCAGTCTACGTAGAATAGAGGGTCTTAGGTGTGAATGTCTGAGCTAGTTAAACTAAGGAATGCTATTCGTCTGAACATCTCAAATGTTCTAGCAACGTTTCCTCTGTGGGAGAGGGGTTGTGGTGTGGTATACAATTCATCACCTACAAGACCACGTAAGCGCTTTTGAACTTTGTCATGGCTGAACAGCCCCAGCCCTAACGTGTCAGCAATACTCAATTTTGGGTCTGGTTTCGCTCTTGTGAAGATAGAGCATGGCTGGAGGATTCCGCTACGTTCTGGGACGGTACAAGGAGGCGAATAATTTTTCGAGCATATTTTGCGATTGATTGCATATACAGGGTGCGATGGATAAGTTGTCGTCTAAATGACGCATAATTGAAAATAAGATTAACATCCAGTTTTAACAGATATATTTACCAAAATTTCACAAAAATATCACGGAATCCTAAAGACTATATTTCTTCAATAAAATCGCCATCGGCTTCAAACACTGTCTCCAGAGGACTTCAGAATCTTCTGCAACTTTTCTCGACAGTCTCCTTGTTTAAGTTGGTGTATGCTGCCATAATCCTTCAGTTCATCTTTGTTGTTACAAAGAGTTTTGTTGTTCTCTTGCACAACTGCGCCCCGACCCATAAGAATCAAGGGGGTTGCAGTCTGAGAAGTTAGGTGTCCAATTGTAAGGGGTGATCTTGTTGCAGAAATCTATAAAAAGAATACCCGCTCGGCCCGGTGGCTAGGATCAAAGTGTAGTATCTGCGCTTTGTGAGCTGTCGGGTGTCTGTCGAACTCTCTGTTTGCAGAGAGGAACCCGGACGAAAGTATATTTAGATCGTAAGATTTTCTTTCGTTTTTTGAGATAATAACGATTTAGTGATACAACTCTTACTAATTAATCCATGGCTGGGGGGGTCTTGGAGAAGATGTGGGTTTATAACTTTTCCTAAGTGCATTTCACACGGAAGTGAATATAACGAAAACCAACGGGAATTGGAACTCGGCTTTCTGATTAACAATTCCGAGCCATTATCCATTACGCTAACTGCACATCCAAGTTTACAGCACCCGGTATTTCCAAGCAGTCACCCATCTATGTACTGACCAGGTTCGGCGTCGCTTAACTTTGGTGATCGTACGGGATCCGGCGTTTCATCTTGATCTGGCCCTAACGGACTAAATAAGAGTAAACATTGCTTTTGGCGGCAACAACTTTAGGAGAATTAGTCTTTATTCAAAAACGCTGAGAGCGTAACGGGAAAGAAAGCTGTGGAGGCCCACGATCGCTTACATCCTAGATTGAGATGGCCCGTAAAAGGAGAACGAAAATATAAATGCATTGATAATCAGAGAGTGATTGTCTATGGTCAGGAATTAAAATCCTTTTTTTTTAGTATGTATAATTTGTAGATACTAAACACTTTAAATAATTTGATCAGTCATAACAAATTTAATATAGGAGAAAAGGAAAATGAACATAGAATAGGCTGAGCTAAGTGTAGTTTCACACAATACCACAAGCTGCTACAAAACTGAAACATGTTCTTAAATAGCTTCATCAGATCGAAACTTTCATGTGGATGTCATGCATGGTGCCAAACCCGCACAGAAATATTTACATTGTCAGCTGTATACAACTACTTTCTCAGATATTATGGCTAGGATTTATGAAACAAATCCATCCAAACTTTCATTTCCTCTAATGATTCCATATCTAGTGATATAGCAAATACTAAAAGCATCTATAGAAATTCATTGCAAATGATTTTACTATAGGAATGCATTAGAAATGATTTGAATACTAGCTCTTTATGGAACCTGGAATATTATGGCTAGGATTTATGAAAGAAATCCATCCAAACTTTCATTCCCTCTAATGATTCCATATCTAGTGATATAGCAAATACTAAAAGCATCTATAGAAATTCATTGCAAATGATTTTACTAGTGGCTTTGAACGAATGAGGCCTGTGGGTCTTAACGCGAGACCGCCCTTCTTCGAACCGCATGGATAGGCGATACAGAATTACAAACAAAGAACTGTACCAAAGAGCAGAAACCACATCGCTTCAGGACTTTCAACAATAGCAATAACTAAAACGAATAGTTCGAAAAGAGGAACTGAGGTGTCGATCAAAAGATGGCCGGGGAATGTCGAGTTTGAAAAGCTGGGTTGGGGTGGCGAGTTCGGAAAGCGGGATTAGGGTGTTGAATTCGGGAAGCGGAATTGAGGTGTCGAGTTCACAAAGCAGGATTGGGGTGTCTAGTTCGGAAAGCTGGGTTGGGGTGGAGAGTTCGAAAAGTGGGGTTGGGGTGGCGAGTTCGAAAAGTGAGGTTGGGGTGGCGAGTTCGGAAATCGGAATTGAGGTATCGAGTTCGAAAAGCGGGATTAGGCTGTTGAGTTCGGAAAGCGGAATTGAGATATTGAGTTCGGAAAGCGGGATTAGGGTGTTGAGTTCGGAAAGCGGAATTGAGATATTGATTTCGGAAAGCGGGATTAGGCAGTTGAGTTCGGAAAGCGAAATTGAGGTGTCGAGTTCGGAAAGCGGGATTAGGGCGTTGAGTTCGGAAAGCTGAATTGAAGTGTCGAGTTCGTAAAGCGGGATTAAGGTGTTAAGTTCGGAAAGCTGAATTGAAGTGTCGAGTTCGTAAAGCGGGATTAGGGTGTTGAATTCGGAAAGCTGAATTGAGGTATCGAGTTCGGAAAGCGGGGTTAGGGTGTTGAGTTCGGAAAGCGGGATTTGCTGGTTGAGTCCGGAAAGTTGAATTGGAGTGTCGAGTTCGGAAAGTGAGTTTGGGGTGTCGAGTTCGGAAAGCGAGATTGTAACACGAAGAGAAAATAATGATTTTTTTTTTTAAAGTAAGGTTCACCCTGTACAAGGCCCGGGGGCCACTTACAGAGTGCTACGTTAATAGGCAAATTGTTCGGATATTAGGGGAAGATAATGATTAACCCGAGCCTTGAACAAGTTAAAATTGTAGCGATCGGGGGGGGGATATCTTCTCGTAAGTGGCATGTCGGAACCAAAGAATGTAGCTCGTCCGAGCACTTTCCGTGGAAGTAGCGATAGAGCAGCGAGAGGCTCACTACATCCCGCCCGTGAGAGAGAGAGAGAGAGAGAGAGAGAGAGAGAGAGAGAGAGAGAGAGGTTGAAAGTTGGAGAATAATTCGTTGCCCACAAAAGCTCGGATAATCTTTTGGACCCTATCACGACTGGAGATGGATCTGGTCTAGTTTTTGTAAAGGTTGAGGATAACGTGAGGAGTCAGGTATTTAACGTACTGGAGCTGTACAGGGAGATGACTATTTTACCTGCCTCTTTAGCGACGGAGCGTATGTTCGAGTTCCACTTGAGGTCAGTTTTGTGTCTAACGCCGATATAACCAAAGATGTTCACGTTCCACACTACATCCGCGTCCTGGGTATGACGATAAACTACGTCCAACAGCAAGGCCATTGATCAGAAGGTTTTGAGGAGCGTGGAACCACCTCTTATTTGCTGGTGTTTCCAGGTCCACCCTGAGCCGGTGTGGTAGCACCTGTCAGGGTCTCAGCTATGGGTAAATAATTAACCCCCACCAAAAGGGGCCAAAACACTATGGAAGTATAAAAATAGGTTTTAACACCAGCAAAATTTCATTGGTAACAAAGAAAAAAATACTGAGCTGTTACATGACATCTTTCCTTCTTTATGGCAGCAAATGTTGGACGATTTCCTCAAAGATGAAGAAGAGACTCGAAGTGACGGAGATGTGGATCTACAGAAGGATGATAAGGATATCATGGACCAAGCGTGTGAGCAATGATGAGATCTTGGAGAGGATGCAAACAAGGAGGAGGCTTATACTTAACATCAGGAAGAGGCAGCTGAAATACCTGGGACACACAATGAGGAAGGAGGGCCTGGAGAATCTGATACTCACAGGTCGAATAGAGGGAAAGAGAGACAAGGGAAAACAACACGTGACATACCTGGCGAGCTTAAGCAAGTGGATGACAGAACATGATCTGGGGGAGGTAGCAGTGGGAAGGAACTTGTTGAGAGCTGCAAGGGATAGAGGGAGGTGGAGAGCCATGATCGCCTACATCGTGGAAGGTCACGGCACATAGGAAGAAAGAAAGAAAGAAAGAAAGAAAGAAAGAAAGAATACTTTTTTTGAAAAATTATTTCCTGCAATACATTTTTAAAAAATTACCAGCAAGCAGTCAGTCAGTTTTGTGCCATGCATGATACACGCTTAAGCGATCCTGTATCTCTTGGTACATGACTGACGAGGCAGATTTTTTCCCACAGTAGGTTGTCATTTCTTTCTGCGGTAGACCAGTTGCCATCCAAGGCTATAAAACCCGGTCTGTCCTGCTATTTACCATAGCTGGGATGAGAAGAGGATTCATATCTTTCCCAAGGGTCACCTATGTGCTATGCGTGATAAACGCTTAGGTGATCATGTATCTCTCGATACATGACTGACGAGGCAGATTTTTTCCCACAGTAGGTTGTCATTTCTTTCTGCGGTAGACCAGTTGCCATCCAAGGCTATAAAACCCGGTCTGTCCTGCTATTTACCATAGCTGGGATGAGAAGAGGATTCATACCTTTCCCAAGGGTCACCTATGTGCTATGCGTGATAAACGCTTAGGTGATCATGTATCTCTCGATACATGACTGACGAGGCAGATTTTTTCCCACAGTAGGTTGTCATTTCTTTCTGCGGTAGACCAGTTGCCATCCAAGGCTATAAAACCCGGTCTGTCCTGCTATTTACCATAGCTGGGATGAGAAGAGGATTCATACCTTTCCCAAGGGTCACCTATGTGCTATGCGTGATAAACGCTTAGGTGATCATGTATCTCTCGATACATGACTGACGAGGCAGATTTTTTCCCATAGTAGGTTGTCATTTCTTTCTATAGGACCTGGTCTGTCCTGCTATTTAGCCATAGCTTGGTGGGAGGGGGAGAAGAAGAGGATTCATACCTTTCCCAAGGGTCAGTTATGTGCCATCCGTGGTATACGTTTAGGCGATCATGTATCTTTCGATACATGACTGACGAGGCAGGTTTTCCCGTGGTAGGTTGCCATTTCTTTCGGTGGTGGACCAGTTGCCATCTAAGTCTACAGAACCCGGTCTGTCCTGCTATTTAACCATAGCCGGGATGGGGGTGGGGGGCGATGAGAAGAAGAGGATTCATACCTTTCCCAAGGGTAAGTCAATGGAATTCGAACTCGGCTCTCCCATTCCTCAATCCGAGCCGCTATCCACCGTACCTCCACTTACCAGAAATACATTTTTGAAAAAAAATATTACCACCAGTAAAATATTACCACCAGTAAAATATTACCACCAGTAAAATATTACCACCAGTAAAAATCTTGTCGGTATGAAATCCATTGAGCTTGGTATGCCGTAAAACAAAAAAAAAAAAACAACAACAAAAAAAAAAACACTCTACACTACTTCAAACAAATGGATAACAAAAAAGACTCAATCAATACAGTTAGAGGACTTGGGGAAAAAATACTAGGAAGATTTTATAAATTTCAACCGGCTGAATGTTTCCTTATAAGGAAACGGCTAATATTACTACAGTGTAACGCGGATATAAGAGAAACCCGGATATAAGAGAGATTTTCTCTGGTCCCAAATTAGAGCCTGTGTTAATGTATATAAAATAGACCAAACCCGAATATAAGAGAAACCCGGATATAAGAGACTTCGTCCCCGGTCCCGACAACTCTCTTATATCCGGGTTACACTGTAATAACATTTATGACATGACTGATTTTTATTATGTGGTTAAGATTTCTTTTGGCTCACTGGGAGGATACACACGCACAGCCATATGCAAAATTCGAGACGAATAGTTGAATGCTATTTCAGGAGTTGGTTTTCCTACAAATAATCGTCCACCCACCTTTAAAAAGATTTCTGATATGCCGCGTAGAAATGGAAGAAACGACGAATCACTAACGCCATTTGCTTGTCTGCACGCTCCTTGGTAATGAATACGGGACATGGGTGGTTTAAAATGTGTGGGGGCTGCTGGGATAGGTACGGGTTAGGTAGGAACACCCAAAAATGGCGGAGTGGGTTCGGTAGGGCTGTAGCAGAAAGTAGCAGGCCTACAGCCCATTAGCTTCAAAATTATCGCCAACTCTTGACCTT